ATAGTCTAATTATGTCAGGTTGATAATTCATAATGACTTTCGTTATTATGAAATAATAAGATAAACAACAAATAAGAATGGATGATTCATACTTGTTGTGTGATAATTCAGAGAACATGTTTGATATTTTTTTCGGCAATTTTAATCGTCTCCGGCATTATGAATAAAATCAATATTATATCAGCAAATAATTAGGGATATATAATAAGATAGATAGTCATATTATCGCATGGTTCATAAAACGCTGATGCGAGAACGTCATGTTACTTGTGTGCGTAATTATATGTTGCTTTGCCAAATAAATCTTATCTTTGTAACTTTATCTTATTGTTAGTGATTTAATTCCTCCAAGTCAGTAGTTTTATTTTATATTTTCTAACGTAGAATGATATTTATATATTAAGAAATAATACAAAATTATTAAATTAACTAAAGAAAACATATATACGTAATTTTTTGTCTGCTTCATAAAAATCATTATTTGATTCGATTAAATTCGCCATATTTGTCTGCAAAATTGTAATTACTTTTTTTCTTCTTCTTGTAATATTTCTCTTTTGTTTCAATGATAACTTGTTCCACTTTTAAGCAAATACAATTAACGAACTCTCTCCAGTTTATCCTTTCTTTTGCACCTACCTTGAGAACGTCACGTTACAATGGCCTCCTCGTTGCTTCACACAGCTCCACAAACAACCACTCACACACACACACACTTACACAAATAGAGCACGCACGGTTGCCGTCTGTCGGTTAAATTTTAAACTAAAATCACTCTCTTTGACTCGGTCGGTAATATCGTACGTCACACGCACCGTTTATTACTTCTATAATACTTATTGATTCGCAAACCAATGTTACACGATAATCTCGATAATAATTTACGTTTATTTATTTATTTATTTCTCTCTCTCTCTCTCTCTTTCTTTCTCTCTTTAAATTAGTGTAATATCACGCGAGAAAAAAGAAAACAATATAACAATAAATGAAGACTTCGTGCAAATAGAAATAACTTTTAAAAGCCGATCGTTTGGATGAACGTGAACGTATGATATTCTCGAACACTTTCTATGTAAAAACGAATTACTAAATTAACATAAAAATTTGTCAATGTCTTCGAATTAGACTTTGTTGAACTGTAAATCCGATAATTGCGAAGCACAACTCCAAATACGAAACGCACCGTACGGCGTCTGACCGAATACTGTGGCATGAACTGTTCCAATGTTGCCAAGTTTGAATCCTTCATTTTTCGATTACCCCCAGATTTAAAGTAACTTATAATCTCGATCTTGACCTATACGTTTGTACATTTAAAAATAATTGTATTTTTATATTTTTATATACATGTATATATATGTAATATATTTATTATATAAATATATATATATATATTTACTAAAATTAGATAATCTATATAATTGCAAAATCATTATCTTTAAAAAAAAAAAAATAAAATATACAACATTTGAAATAATAGATTACATAAGTAAAATACAAGATATCGAGCTAATTATTTATATTGAAAAATTATTTCTATAAAAAATGACATGTCTCGGTCGGTAATGGTTATACCTGTTAATGTTATTAGGTTGGTATGTTTCAAAATGTCGGATATTATTTTTAAATATTCGAATTATAGATTAAACTTATGTTTTTTTCTTTTTCATTTGTGTTTCATAAATACTTTATTATACTATATATTTAACTATAAATTAAATTGAATTACATCATGCTCGAGTGAAAAAGATTAATTGAATTTATTTAAAAATAATAATAAAAAAAAAAAAACAAGAACAGATAATAAGAAAGTATTTAATGAAAAATAGATACCATTTAGTTTTATTGGAGATTTTGTGCTTCAAAATGTTTAACATATTTTGAATCATACATCATATAATTTACATAGTGTCATTTATAATTTACTGAACACATTAGAGATTGCAGTACACAATTAATAGATTTCTTTTATTATTTTTTTTTTTAATCGATGTATCTGCACAAGACATTTTTCTTTTTTTTGTAAGGATAGCATTGATATTATAAAAAAAGTTCAGATTACTTATAATTTGATTATCAGAATTGATCATTAACGTCGAGATTAGATCTTTCAATAGTTATTTGCATTAAAACTATATTAGCGAATAGTAAAAACGTTCATTTTAACAAAATCTTATTGATAAATTATTGTTGTTGTTGTTTTTTTTTTCTGTTTTTTCTTTTTTTTTTTTTGCATTTTTCATTTTCTTTTATTTTTTGTTTTTTTGTTTTTTTTTTGTTGTTTTTCGTTTCTCAATTTGTTTTCACACGGTGCATTATGCTTCGGTGTACAAATCAGTCATTTTGCAAGTATCTACATAAATTGCTCATTTAAATGCACAACGTTACGTTTCTATAAGTTTGACGCTTTTACAAATATCTAGATCAAGAATTGTAAGATCACAAGAGTTCGATAGTCCTCAATGTTAAATTTAATCAATTATAATAGTTTAATAATATTCATTGTAAGTATGTAATGAAGTGTATTTTTTGTTGTCAATTAAATATTATTTCTGATTGAAATCTGATTTGTCGCATAAAATTATTCTCAACAGCCTCTCTTACAATTAATCGTAATATGTCTGGACAATAATAATAATAATAATAATAATAGTAATAATAGTATTATTATTTAAATATTATAAATAAATTGTTCAAGTCCTCTTTTGGATTTAATTAAAAAATTAATTAATCATATATTCCATAATACTACTAATAAGTATAAAATATATTAAATATATATATATATATATGCATGATAGTAAATATATAATGCTAAGTAAGGATGATGATATCATAAATATAAGTATCATTACATAATATTTTCTTAAATATACAATTTGTCTCAATTTTAATCCACAATGTTTGACTATTATATTTTATAAGTAAAAATATGAACATAATGTTACTGTTTTATTCAAAGAAGAATATGTGCTGACAATATATTTTGTGAATTAAAATTGAGATTATTTGTATTTATTATATATCAAAGTCCAGACATGAAAAATTTATACAAATTGATTGAACTGTACGTTTGATTTTATATATATATATATATATATATATTATTTTTATCTTATCGTATTTTCTTCATTTAATATTATTGTATCTTATATAAACGTATACAGCCTGGTTATTAAGTAAATGCTTGAACGATAACGCACGATGATATTATTTATTTATTTTTTTGTTTGTTTGTTTGTTTGTTAGAATAAGAATTGAAAAAAACTGATACTAAGCATAAATCAGAAGAAGAATATTTCATCATTGCAATCCAATAGGATTTAACTAAGACGAATACTTTCCCCTCCCCCTCCCCCCCAATATTATCATATATTGCTTTGTTAATTATAAATTGTTATGTTAACAAAAATATGAAATCATCATAAAAGTAATGTATCGTCACAACCCTTTAGTATAAATGTATGTATGTATGTATATTTGTTTTCAATTCATTTTTATACGTAGTTTTATCGCATATGTCAGATTAGAAATTTGTTTTTTATCTTTTTTCTTTTTTTTTTTTTCTTTTGATGAATATATAATTATTATCGTTATATCATGAATTTGAATATTTACAAGCATATTCATACGATTAGAAATTTACGTAATCCTAGAATACTTCTTTACAATTAGTACGAAAAATGATATAAGATTAAGTTTTTATTATGATTTTTTTCTTGTTTTTTTTTCTTTTTTTTTTATATATATATTCTTTTTTTCTTTACTATTATTATTATTATTATTATCGATAATTATTTATTCAGTTAAATGATAATTTGGAAAAAGATAATTTTTTTTTGTTGATTCAGTAAAGCCAAGAGAAAAAATATATATATATAAGTAAATCTTTATATTTATATTAATACGTTACGTTTATCATTAAATATAAAATACTAAGAGAAAACATATTGGATGAAGAAAATGTATGAGAGAGAGAGAGAGAGAGAGAGAGATAAAGTGTTAAGATAAAAGATTAATATTAAATCTTGAAATATCTTAATATCGCATTTCTGTAAGAGAATAATTAATCCTTTACATATATATGTGTATATATATGTATATATATGTATAATAATTATATAGAAATTCTTGTTCTCATGATAGTTTTCATGTCGTCCAATGAAATTAACATTAATAATAATAATAAAAATAAATAAACATTAAGATTACCCAGGCAGCAAAATAGTATACATGTTCGTATACAGTATACCATGGAATAACAATGTAGAGCTTGTGTGTTAAAATAATACATGATTTACTATAACACTGAATGTATAACAGTTTTCTGTACTCTACAGCCTCTCTATATAAATACAAACTAAGTAACAAAAATCTTATAGAATTAGATTTATACTAAATATTATATATTTCGACATTAGAAAAAGAAAAAGAAAAAGAAAAAGAAGAAAGAAAGAAAGAAAGAAAATATTTTGTTAAAGTTTACTGCACTATATCAATCGTATTTGTTAATGAGATTCATAACTGACATTAAGTTCGTATTTTCTCAGATCATATATTAAATTTTTATATTTGTTTATAAATTAATTGATATAAAAAAAAAAAAACATGAATTTTAAGGAAAAAAGAAAGAAAGAGAGAATAATAATAATAATAATAATATTAATCAGTTAAGCGTGTTTGACGACTATATCCGTCATCGCTTGATTATCGCGACACACACCAGAGCGCACTCTGTAACGTATTACAAATATTGCAGCAATAAACTTTTGAATTTCTAATACCAATTAATAATAATAATTAAAATATTATATAATAAAAATAATTATTCATTCATTCATTCATTCATTCATCCATTCATTTCTGTGAAAAGAAATGGTCGATATTAAAAATAAAATGAATTAAAAAAAAAAAAAATAAATTGACAATGGAGTAACTATTAAATGATAAAATCAATAAATATAGGTGTTCTCATAATCACCTTTTTTTTTTTTTTTTTTTTGAATTATATCTGATATATATGTATTTACAATTTACACACCTAATAATACGCATTTAATGTATCAATGAAAGAATGATGATGTGATGTGTATATAATTTATTAATGTCAGTTCTTTATCTAATGCATCATTTTATGAAGTTTTAGAATTTTACCCAAACGTTGTTTAGCCGTTTTCATTCCCTTTCTAGGCTTACGTTCTAAAAATTCAAAAATGTTATTATCTAGATGACTTAATCATAATAATAATAATAATGATAATAAAGAAAATAGAAAAATACTTTACCGATTGGAACTGGTGCTGCTAACTTAGCTTTAACATCTTTCAGCCTATTTGGACTTGTCAATATTGATCCATATCCAGTGCTAGTTTTGACAATATTTTCTGTAGGTACAATTGGTGTTGGACCAGACGTTACAATTGATGTATCTTTTTGTTTCTTCTTATTATATGTCCTCTTGGTTGTATTCTACCATATAACAAAATTAATATATTATTATTTTTATTTAATTTATATATTAATAATAATAATGATTTATTCTGCCATTTAATAGAAATCTATTGATTAAATATAAATACAGATTAAAATGTATACGTGCATGAAAAGATGAATATTTGAGAATGTGTAATTTAATCATCCAAGTTAAAAATGTAAATTAAAATATATAAAAATAATAATTATTTATACATAAAACAAGATCTACAGACTATTACAATTATATGAAGAAAATTATGATATGCCTACCAATTTCTTCTTTGTAATCTTGTCCATCTCGTTATCCAGATATTCACCCTATATGATACAAGTATGTAATAATGAAAGTATATTATAGATATATATATATATATATCTAAATGGAGAGATAACTAAAAATATTTCTTTAGAAATAAATGAAATGTATTTAATTTGCATACATAATATATATGTGTGTGTGGATAAGTTTGTAAGATGAAACAATTGTTTTTCATAATAAAAAATGAGAAAAAGAGATAAAGAGAGAACTAATAAAATATAAATAAGAAATAATTTCAAATCTACCGCTTGTTTAGCTCGTTTCGCTGCTGCTGCTTCCAATCCTTTTTCAACTGAAGTTTTTCTAACTCCTTCTCGTGCTGGTCGATTTGTCTTTGGCAAGAGTGGTCCAACTCTGGCTTTTGGATTCCATGCCTCATCTATTTGACTTTTTGCTTTGGGTTTGAAAATATAGTCTTCATCGTCAGAAGCATCCAAAGCAGGATAAACTAAAAATATCAAAGTCATTCTCATTTAGAAATTTTAATCATTTATGTCTAATTTCTTATACAAATATATACATATATATGTATTAACTTACTAAAATCATCGTCCTGATGAACTTTGTCAATATTTTCTATCAAGTGATCGTCGTCGTCATCATTGTCGTTGTTGCGTTGTGTTTTTTCTACTTTAGTTGGTTTGCTGGAGTTACTCGATGTCGTTGAATAACACTGCTCGCTGAATGATAACATCCCAGCAATAGCTTCACGTGTTGACGGTGATGCCCTGTCAGAACTAGCCGTTTTCAATTTATAAATACTAAGACACCAAAAAATAAAATATAACTATTCTCCAAAATAATCATTATATTTGCATGCTTTGAAATTATAAATCACTTTAATAAATAGATGAATATTAAAAGTAATCTTACGAGACGTAATAATGACTTACCCAGTAGGAGGAGGAGGAGGMGGCACAGGTTGACTGTATTGTGGAATTGTTGATGGTCTAAAATAATTGTAAATATGACTGATAATGATTCTGTAACGATTAGAAAAATATAAATAAAAAATAAAAAAAATGTGTTACATACGTAACGTCTAATCTTTGAGGAGCGTTTCCTAATGTATATACAGATGCTTTAATCAATTCTTCTATACCATTTTTGGGAATATCATTTAAAACATCAACGTCGCCATCGTAATCTCGTTTAATTCGTTTTTGCGTGTTAGCTTTAGAATTTCTTCTTCTTTTTGGAGACTCGTCTATAGTAAATCTACCATAATCACTTTCATTACTACCGTCATGAAAATCATATACAGACGTACGATTCCAAGAAAGTTCTTTCGTAACAGTAGCATGATTAGAAGTAAAATTATTTTGTAAATTGATATTATCATTTGTACTTCTAACGACTTCGTTGTTTCCTAATTTAAATCTGATAACAGTGGGACTTTGTTTTCCTGGCTTGGCTATACGTTTCTGTGTAGGACTATTAACGTGTTTTTCTTCCATCAAAGTATTTTTAATATAAGGGTACATTACAGGTTTTGATAAAGTTAACTTTAATGGTGGCCGATTAGTTGCAATACTATCATTAATTATAGTCCCAACTTTATTTGTTTCTTTCAACGTAGCTTTAAATGGATTTTCTACCATTTTATCTGCGACATCATAATCTACGAAATCTTTATTCAATGGTTTCTTTTTCTTTCTTTTACTTTCACGCTCCGGTTTAGGAGGATTTAATGATATCAAATACCTCTCGGCGTGACGTATTTCTTTACTAAAATCTTTCAATAATTTTTGACTGTTTATCGTATTTGGTATTTGACTTCTACTGACCATATTGTACTATATAAAAATATAAAAATATTAAAAAGAATTTCATTTCTATATTAAATAAAATAAATATACCAAAATATTTTACTTACGTCTTTATCAGTGTTCCATTGTTTTAAAATACTTAATAACGCTCTAACACCTTGTAAAAAATATGGTGGACATTTTTTCTCCTCATTATTTAATTCTTTCAGTTCTTTTAACAATTTTTTAGCAGCAAACCAATTAATCGTCTCAAAACCAGGATATTGAAATTTGGCAGGAGTTTTCATTTTTCTTTCCAACTCGTATATTCTGTAAAATAGAATATTTAATGAGAAGCAATATGTGTGTTTTACACTTTTATATTCACTTACGTACTTACTGTATCTGCATAGGAATATTTAAACTATGTACAAAATTTCCACCGAAAACCAAAGAATCAATTGGAGTTAAGACAGCGTGTATCCAACCTGTTGGTATCATCATAGTCTGGCCCTGTTTAATAACGCATTTGTAACATGCATCAGCCTGATCTCCAAAGAAAGTTTCACTTTGAGTAGAACTGCACATCCAATGCTGATATAATTGTAAATTTGCTGGTGTCGGTTTGATAAGATAAAACACTTTTTCACCCTTTAATACATGATACCAAACTGATGTGCCGCCAAAATCTATATGAAAATCTGTGAAACTGTCTTTGACTCCCATTAGGCAATATTTTTGTACTTCGGGACGCTTTATATCACTTTCCTCAGGCCAATCGCGTGGCCAAACAGAGTTTACCCAGTCAAGTTTGCGCGCGATGTATGGTGCTTCGACCATTGATGAAAGACTGCAACGTTTATTTGTCAATTTATACACATACGTCCTATATACGATTAAAGCCATATATGGCAAGGCAATGAATATGGATATACCCAGTATTTGAAAATTCAAGACTTATGACATTAAAAACTTTTGTTCGACAAGGGTCATTGTAATATTCTACAAAGTCTCGTAATTTCATTCGAATGTTACTTTGTCTTGTGACATCTATCACATCCATTTCACGATCTCCACCTGAATTAATAATATAATATGTATGAATATTATAATAATCAATATTTTATTTCTCCTTCTTAATATACAATATATTCTGTGTAATTATATTATTATATTATTTGAAGAATTAACTGATCATCTTACCTATATAACTTTCAACATCGTAAACGCTAAAGTTTGGAGGAGGTACGCTCATATCAAGACCATCTTTTCCATCGATTATAATAGGTGTCTCAAATCCATTATTTTGTAAATATTGCAGTGTTAATTGTTGTCCTCTCACATGTTTAACTATTTCGTCGGCTTTAGAAAAATGTCTAGATTTTAATTCTCGAATGAATACTTCTGTCCCAGTTTGAACAGGTTTAGAATCTGCATTCTTTTCGGTATAATCATGTCTGTGCCAATTTGATCTAGTTTTCACTAAAATATAAATATGGAAATATTCTTACAATCTATCTTATTAATCACATTAGTATGATAACAATAAGTGAATTCATTTTACTTACTAATAGATGGTCCATGCATTGGTTCACATTTTGGACAATGATATTTATCGACGTCTAATGACATATATTCTTTTAGAGCTACACACCTTTGCAGACATATAAAGTAAACAACGTTAATATCGATAACTTTAAGAGTATTGTCAAAATTGTGTTAAATAATGAATAAAAACATTTAAAAATCACTTATGCATCATCAAAACTAATGTATATGAATTTGAATTTAAATAACAATTTAGGATAAAGATATCAATACAATTTACACATAGAAAACAACTAAATATCAAATAACAAATTAATTTGATCAAAAGGATAACATAATCACCAAATGTATAGGTTATGATACTATCAATAAACATTCCTTTGTATACGAAGTTATACATACTTTTAGATGAAAATTGACAAATATTTATGAATATATAGGATCTATGCAATTTTTGGAATAATCGTTATTAAACTACAATGTTAGAAGAAATGTTGGAAATTGTAAAGCATTAACTTAACGTTGTGTTTTATATCTTCGTGACGCACGTGTCATTTTGTCAATGGATTTCTTTCACAATACTTACCCGCCGTGATACCATTCTTTACAAATGTCGCATAGTATCATAAATTGCTCAGCGTCATAAGAACGACCACACAAACAATATTTAACTGGTAACTCCATTTTTGTTAGTAGATACTAAACTGTATGTATGCACTAAGTACAGTTATCTGTTATTAGTTATTACCTTACAAGAAGTCATACCGTACGTTATTCTATCGAATGACTATTGAAGCGCCATCTGACGTCAAATTCTTTCAATTAGAAATATTTCACTAGCTTTCAAACTCATTTGAAAGCCCGCCACGTTATGTGACTAATATGTGATAATGAAACTGATATGCACCATTGGACCAATAGGAATTTTTTATTGAAATTGACATTTCTGCGTATATTTTGGTTTTATCAAAATATTAGATAATACGTAAACATAATTGGTATTCGCACTAAATTGATGAATTTATTAATTTAATACAAGAGAAACATATATATATGAGGTAATAATTATTTAATATTTGATCACATTTTAGGTTATTAAATGTTATATCATAAAATTTATAAAAGGAATAATGAATCGTGATAAACATAATTCTGAGAAATCACACAAAGGTAAATTTAGTAGAAGACGTTCTTTATCAGAGTGTGCTGCTTCTTCTTCTTCTACTACATCTGATCAAAGTTATAATAAATTTAATATTAAAACTAAAAAAGATTTAAAAATCTTATCCAAAAATGATGACAGTATGGAAAAAGGTATAACATATTTTTCTATATACACACACACACACACAACTCTAATCAATTGATGATCTGAAGAAATATTGTAAATAATTATTATAATTTTAGATAACGTGAATGTTTTTTCCAAATGGAATCACTGTGAGTTATTAAATTCAACTATAGATAGTTCAGTAAAAACAAAGAAGAAAATATTTGGAACAAATATGAATCTTGGTTCTTCAGAAATCATAAGAGTATTATCTCATAAGATTTTGATGATATCAATAACATAATATTGAATCATTTTTTTAAGGAAATTTGTTTAATCGATATTTCTAAGTAATCATTTTATTTCAATTGACAGAGCGTGTCCGAATTAAATCTATCAGATTCATTGGAAGAAAATAAAAATGTATCTAAAGAACAAATTTTTGATTATTTGAAATCTATAAATTTTGATGAAATGTCAACCACTCAATCTGGTAATAGAAAAAATTGGAGAAAATCTAAGAATACTAATGAGAGATCGCAATTTAGATATAATATTTCGAAAAAGAAGACAACCGTTGATGCTACACAATATAATAATGAAGTACAAGAATGTGAAACTCAAGATGCAATGATGCATAATGTAAACAAATCATGCACCAAATCTAAAAGACCGATAACAACAAATACAAATACAACCATGTCAAATTATAATAAAAAGATACGCTTATATTGTTTAAATAATAAAGTATTGATAATTATGGAAGAAAATACCAGTTTCTGTTTTAATGGTAAATTATCTATAAGTGTATTGTATGGTGCAATAGAAGTTTACGGATCTCATGTTACCAGAGTTGATTCTCCGATATCTGTATATTCTCCAAAAGGATACAGTTGTGTAGTTATAGAAAATAGTCATAAGTATGCATGCAATAATATAGATATTTGGACATCATTATCTAAGGAAGGTATCAATCCTGATATAAAGAATGCATTACAATACGATATCAACCATCGCAAACCGGGTATGGCAGTAATTACATTAATTAATTTGGAAAATAAATTAACAACATTTGTTGATGCTTATTTTTCGATGAAATTATTTCCCACTATTCGCAATGTCAGATATTATTCTTGGATTGACAGAAGGAGAGCAGAAATGATATTGCAATCGAATCTTTATTTTGATATTCAAAATTATAAAAGATTGGTAATTGATCCTACCATAACAGGAATACTTGCTGAAAAAATGATAAACCGTTGGCATTCTAATAATTGGTCATGTACATTAATAGCAGGTGGTAAAAGTGTTGGAAAATCGACTACTGTACGTTATTTAATAAACACCTTATTATCGATCACTGGAATGGTTGCTTTAGTAGATGTCGATCTTGGTCAAAGTGAATGTACACCACCTGGCAATGTATCTTATAGTTTGATCAAAGAACCATTAGCTGGACCAAATTTTACTCATTTATTAACACCAGTGTATCAACTGTACATAGGAGATGTAAATGTAACTCGGTGTATCACAAGATACATTGAATGTCTTAAATTGTTAGCAAGTAATTTATTACTTTGTCCAACCTTGTCACGTTTACCGATTGTTATAAATACAATGGGTTTTACTGAGGGTATAGGATGGGATCTCGTTGTGTTTACGATCAAACTTTTCCAGCCTTCTTTCATTGTACAAATAATGTCTGAAAAGACAAAAAACAATTATGCTAATTTATTGAGTAGTGATATCATAAATAGTCAAGTAAGTATTTTTATTTTTATAATAAATCCTTTTCAAATTATATATTATGTTGTAAAAAATAAGAAAATAATATTTTCCCAGACTCTTGCAGGTTTTTCATGGAGTGAAAATATTGAAGTAAATATAAATAAACCGTGTTCTCATGAGCTATATGTTATAAATACAAATGCTGAAATGAAGCGTAAATCAATGAATGAGACATTGGACATGGAACCTTATCAACAACGTGAACTCGCTATGATGTCATATCTAAGTGAAATCATTAATCCAGAAGACAATTTCATGTGAGATATTGAAAATTATTTTACTTTCTTGCTTGTATATAATATTAAGTTAATAAATAAATATTTTCTAGGTTTTGTGCTCAATCTGCGTCACTTAACATCAATGAAACTGAACCATTCGTGTTAGTACAAAGAATCATCCTAATAGCTTTAGCTTGAACATTGCAATTTTTCTACTAATATATGTTATGAAAAAGAAGTTCATTTTTTTTTTTTAGTATACCTTTTGCTTCTATAACCATCGTTCTACTACAAAAGGATGTACCACCTTCAAATGCATTAAAAGTAATCAATGGTAGTCTGGTTGCTCTGTGTGGCGTCAATTGGACAGGTGTTGTGTTTCCAGAAACAGTTCCACCAAAGCCTCGTATATTAACAACAGTACCTTTATGCATTTGCTATGGTTATGGTAAATAACAATTAATTAACATTGTTTCTTCATTTTTGTTCTTATTTATTCTGATGGCAATTTGTTATAATTCATTTATTCAACAAACTAATCCTACTTTCTTGATTTTATTATTTGGTTTTTTTTTTTTTTAGGAATAATTCGTGGGGTTGACACGGAAAAAGAAGAAATTTACATAATCTCTCCACTGCCTTTTGTATTTAGGCAACGTGTCAATTGTTTAATAGGAAGTATAACTATGCCTATGAATTTATTACGATTAAATCAACCAAATGTATCACATGCAAGTGGAAATAATACTTTACCAACGAGTCGTGATCCACGTAAAGAACATTTTCGTATGAGACGTAAAAATAGACGAACTTCAGATTGATTCAGTTTTATTTTTTAAGAAAAATTACAACATTATTTTTTTAACTATTCAAGTTTCATAAAATGAAACATACAAAGGGTATACAAAGGGACATTTGACTAATTAAAATTATTCTTTTTCTTTTATCATTGTCTTTTCTTTTTGTTTAATTCAATTACATAGAAAATCGGTTTTACGATTAATATGACAGTATATGACGAGATGACCATTTTTTTTAACTACATGATTTATTTCAACAAAATTCTTTCAATTTATTATTATTATTATTATTTAATATATTTTATACATTTGCTCCAAATATGTTGAAACATATTGTATTTAATAATGTACAGTAATATTTAAGAATTTATAAACAAAAATGGAAAAGATACTTCTGCACGTTGAACGAAAAGAAGACCATCTTATGCGCGCAATCGTTTTATATAATTTTCTATAAAATTAAATTTGAAACTTAATCATCGGCATTTCAAAAATGTAATTTCGAATGAAAAATTTTTCATTTCTTTTTATATTATATATATTAATTTAATATTTTGATTCTTCGTAGCAAGATATAGTATCATCTTTTTACGTTATTCAAAAGAAGATAGTGGTGGCGCTGCAGTTGTTTTGGCAATGCTGTTGTACAGGTAATGCTAGGAAAACAATATGAACAATATGGTGAATATTGTTACGACAAAACTATGGAGGGTAGAAGTAAGGAGTAACATCTCTTATGGGAGTAAACGTGAAAAAGTGTCCAGCGTTTTCTATCAATAACAGTTCAAAAACCTTCCACAATGGCGCTGGTGTAGACATTTGGTATGGTATGAATGTAGCAATTGTAAATGTATTGTAATTGTTTATTTCTCAATTGTACTTTAATATTTGGCGCTTCCTTTAAAATTTACCCTGAAGCTACTGTGGCGCCACTCTAATTGAATGCATTTCAACAGACACTTTTCATATACAGAGATGTTACTCCTTAACCTCTACCTTCCATAGACAAAACCAACGTGTGCAACTTAATCTTGTTTTGTTATTTTCTTGAGAACAAATTGTTAACATCGTTACAAATGAATATGGATGATGTTAATGCAACGAAATCCAATTGCAATGAAAAGATACGTTTATATTGTTTGAATAGTAAGGTATTGTTAATTATGGAAGAAAAGAGTAGTTTCTGTTTTAATGGCAAATTATCTATAAGTGTATTGTATGGTGCAATAGAAGTTTATGGATCTCATATTACCAGTGCTAATTCTCCGATATCTGTATATTCTCCTAGAGGATACAGTCTCATACCTGTAGAAACCAGTCAAAAATTTTTACTTTCACACAACAAAGATATATGGACATATTTGTCACAGGAAGGTATTACTGCTGATATTCAAAATTTATTAAAAACAGATATCGATCAATGCAAACCGGGTATGTCGATAGTGATATTAATGAATTTGGAGAACAATCTAACTGAATTTGTAAGCTCATACTTTCCCAAAAAATTATTTCCCAAAGTAAGAAATGTCAACAATTATTCTTGGACTGATATAAGAAGAGCAGAAATGATAGTACAGTCTAATCTTTATTTCGGTGATGATTATTATAAAAAATTGGTAATCGATCCAACCATAACAGGAAAACTTGCTGAACAAATCTTAAATCGTTGGCATTCCCAGGATTGGTCTTGTACACTTTTAGCCGGTGGTAAAAACGTTGGCAAATCAACTACAGCACGTTATTTAATAAACACCATATTACAAACTTCTAAGATGGTTGTTCTGGTGGATGTTGATCCTGGTCAAAATGAATGTACACCTCCGGAAAGTATATCATATACTTTGATCGATGAACCATTAGCTGGGCCTAATTTTACACATTTAAAACAACCGACAAATCAGTTGTACATAGGAGGTGTTGATGTTTCTAGATGTATAACGAGATACACTGAAGGCCTTAAATTGTTAGCAAATAAATTGTTAAGTTGTCCAGTCATGTCACGTTTACCAATTGTTATAAATACAATGGGTTTTACCTATGGTATAGGATGGGATATCATAGTATTTACAATCAAACTTTTCCGGCCTTCTTTCGTTGTACAAATATTATCTGAAAGGATAAAAAATAATTATGCTAATTTATTGAGTAGCGATATTATAAATAATCAAGTAAGTATTTTTATTTTTTTTTTTTTTATAATATAAATCCTTTTTTTAAATTATATATTATGTTGTAACAAATATGAAAATAATATTTTGTCAGACACTTGCAGGCTTTTCATGGAGTAAAAATATTGCAGATCTAAATAAACCATGTTCTCATGAATTACACATTATAAATACAAATGCTGAAATGAAGCGTAAATCAAAGACCGATTCATGGAGCATTGAACCATATCAACAACGTGAACTCGCTATGATTTCTTATTTAAGTGGAATTATTAATTCCAATGAAAGTTCCATGTGAGATATTTAACATTATTTTACTTTTTTGCTTGCACATATAATATTAAATTAATAAATAATAAACATTTGCTTGGTTTCATGATAGAACTACGTCACTCAACATTAATGAAGCTGTACCATACGTGTTAGTATAAAGATTTATTTGAATAATTTTCTTTAAACACTGAAATTACTTATATATATATATGTTTATATTTTTGTCAGTGCACCTTTTACTTCATTAAGTATTGCTTTACTTAAAGAACATGTACCGTCTTCACATATATTAAATGTAATCAATGGTAATATGGTTGCTTTGTGTGGTGTGGATTTGACAAATGATATGTTGCAAGATGCTGTTCCATCGAAGCCTCGTATATTAACTAGAGCACCTTTGTGCAGTTGCTATGGCTATGGTAAATAATAATTAAATAACATTACTTCCTTTATAATTCATTTATTCAATAAACTAATCCTACTTTCTTGATTTCATTTGGTGCTTTTGTAGGAATAATTCGTGGGGTTGACACGGAAAAAGAAGAAATTTACATAATCTCTCCATTGCCATTGACAATAATGCAATCTGTAAATTGTTTAGTAGGATGCATACCTATACCTGTAAATTTATTACAGTTAAATCAACCAAATGTACCGTACGCAGGTGGAAATGATGCATTGCCAACAAGTCGTGATCCACGTAGAGGATATTTCCGTAGGAGATTTAAGAAGACACGAATTTCAAGTTAAGTTTTATTTAAAAAACAAGAAAATTATTTTCTTATTTTTTTAATTATTAATACGTTAACTTATAAAGACAAAAAAATATATTTGATATTAAATAATATATTCGTTTTACCTGGGAACCGACCGAAACAACATCCCTATATTAATTTATCAAGATAATTTTATTTAAAATGCTTATTAATTTTTCCTAGACCAACCCAATTATCAAATTATTTTTTTTCAACAAATTCTTTTTATTTTCATCTTTTCAATATCTTATATATTTCATTTATTATCAACGTGTAAGTTACGGCATTGATAAAGTTTACATTTAAATCTTTCCCGCCTGATATTGGACGACTACTGTAGTCATGAAAATATATCGAAAAATTATCTACCATATTTTCTTTTGTAATTTTCTTTTAGATAAATCTTGTATCTAAAGGCACATATCGTTAATATCATCGAATTTTCAATTACTTTCTATCCATGTTGATAAACAAAACAAAAAGAAAATTTAAAATCTGGAGTGTTACATAACAAAATCGGCCTTGAATCATATATATATATATATATATATATATATACATGGAGGGTTGTAAAGTTTTGAACCTTTCTTTTCGAAAAGTTTGCGAGACTATGTAGCAAATTAGATCTTCTAAAAAAAATTGTTTCTTTGTTACGATGAAAACTTGTTAACCCATCCATGTATACATACACATGCATACATAAACCTGAAATTAATAGAACATTAAATAGATTTAAAATCCTTCCGCTAAATATAAAAATACCCTTTACGTAAATTGAAATTGCATTATCAATGAACAAGAAAAAAAAAAGAAACCATTAAAGATGGAGAAACAAAAGGAGAACAAGATAAAAGAAAAAAAGAAAGAAAGAAAGTAAAGGTCCGGAAATTCATAATGAACGATGATGTCAAGTGGATTCCGTAGTTGGCATCGGCCGTGAGAGAGATGAAAATAGAATGGTATCGCGACGAACACGAGAAAGAATCAAAAGGATAGGTAGGGTAAGAGGGGAGAAGGTAGAGGTGGTGGTTGGGAGTAGCGGAACGGGGTAAGGGGTTAAAGGGGACAGGAGGAGAGAGAGTTCGTAGAGCACGTGGTACCACCAAAGGTATTTCTCGAGGTCGCGCGCCGGGGTCGACCTGATGAATGGAAACGTCGGTATTATTGTGTTTACACGCGGGACACACGGCTGCTTCTCTCTCTTTCTCCCAACCCGGGTTACTTTCTCTCTCCCTCTAACTCTCTCCCTCTCTTTCTCTCTTTCTCTAATAATCCGTACTCGCTCACACACCCACCCTATCCTATCTATCCGTCTCTCTTCTCGCACTTGGCGCGGAAACATTCATTCATAAAGCGTTCCGCGCGTTTCTCTCTCCACTCCCCCCCGGCACCCTCGCATATGGAGGAAATGGGGGATGAGGAGAAAGAGGAGGAGGAGGAGGAAGAGGAAGAGGAGGAGGAGAGAGAATATACGCGACCCTCTTCGAGCGGCAGAGGGACGTTGTGTCAGGGGTGTATTCACAGATTTACCAAAGAGCTGAGAGCGCACGAGACCACTTATGTATATGCAAGTACTATGTGTATAGAGATATACGTATGCATATTCTCGCCATTACGCGCGACAACTTTTGAAAAATCTTCCCCGATAGTTTAACCTGTCGATTAAGATTAATAAATACTTCTTGTTTTCCTTTTTTTTCTCTTAGGATGATATTATATTAATCTTATAATTTGTATTTAAAGGGAAATGATTTATACGTGATAATATATATATATGTAAATGTTTCATATAAGAGATAAATAACGGTTGAAAGTGAAATGATGCATGATCGGTAATTATTCGGTTGATAAGTAAGAAATCGATACTTATCGATTAAGATGGAAAAGAAGATAACGGGAGGATTGGTACAAAGAAAAAAATGACTCTGACATCGTAATAGCCAATAAAAGGCAAGCTTGCAATATCTGATCTTTCCTTTCTCTTTCTCCTCTCTCTCCTTGAAGAGGAAAGGGATAAATCTCGTGTTTCTAACGAACCTCTGTCAGACACGCCAGTGCTAGTCACGTAAAGGAAACGAGTGAAGGGACGAGACGCTAACGATTCCAAACTTCTTTCTCTCTCCCTCTTTCCTTCTTCTTCTTCTTCTTCTTCATCTCCTACTGTTCTCCCCACTTTCTATTCCCCATCGTCCTTCCAACGTCACGCGTAATGCGCCATGATAATTTATAAGGGCCGCTATCCTTCTCTATTGTCTACTCGCAAAGAGAAAGGGCGTCAACCGCGACACATTGCTCCCCCTCTTTCACTCTCTCTCTTTTTCCTTTTTACATTCGTAATGTCACCATATCAAAGGGACATTTCATTCATTCCATTAATCGTTAAGAGATCATTTAAAAACTGACGAAAAATGTTACGCGCTTGTATTATTTTATTTTACTGTGTAGAAATTTTGTTTTGATAGCTTTTGAATTTATTTTCGTTAACGAGTCTTGCGTTCGAGGGTTTCTTTTTTTTCTAACCCTCGTTGGGAGTTCTCTTTTTTATTAAACGGTTAACCATAAGCGTTTTCTTATACGATACTATAAAAGAGAAAAGAGAGAGAGAGAGAGAGAGAGAGAGAGAGAGAAAATGTGTTTATACGTAGCACACGGTGGGGGGTGGGGGGATATCAGGCCAGTATGAATGAGCTCGTAAATGCGAGAGCGGATCTACCTATTTGCGCATTCGGTCACGGCAACTTTCAGTATAAATTGAAACTTCTCTTGAGGGTGTCTCGTCGTCGAGGGAGAATGTCAAGGGAACGTGGCTAAAAGTGAGACAGAGAGAAAATGAGAGACAGAGAAAGAGAAACGAAAACTGAGTGAGATAGAATGATGCTCGGAGACTGGGACACACCGACCGAGCGAACGAGTGAGCGAGAATGAGTGAGTGAGTGAGTGAGTGAGTGAGTGAAAGAGAGAGAGAGAGAGAGAAAGAGAACGTGATATCAGAGAGAGGGGTAGAAATCCGCGAAGTTGAGGCGGTACCGCTTAGTACGAGCCAAGCTCCGATTCAGTTTGGATCAGTCGTGTCGTTCTCATTGCTTAACCTCTCATTCTGACATCACCGTCATAATCATCGTCATTATAATCATCATTATCATCATTATCATCATTGTTCTCATCATCATCATCATCATCATCATTATCATCATTATCGTCGTCATCATCATCACTTGACTACTATCCTACACAATTATTCAGGATAAGAAAAAGGATCAAGAAAGACAACGAATTTAGATTACTAGCAAAATGCTCCGTCGGTAAAAAAGATTCAGGATAACAGTATATTGTCTGATATAGGCGTATAATAGGAAAATTAGGAAGGCCATGAAATGAAATGAATAATTGTATTTTTTTTTTAATAATTTTGTCGTACGATCAGAAACTATACAATAGTTTCGTTAAAAATCGACGAATTGAAACGAACCGTTTAAAATTTCCTTCTAATTATTTTTTTCTTTTACGTATTTTGTTCTTCGTTAGAATTTTATTCTCACATTGTTGATCGTATCTTTTTGTCAGAATATTAGTCAAAAAACTATAATGATATAAGAGAGAAAACGTTTATCTCACGTACGAAGTATTGATTTTCGCATCCGTAGAATCATCTGCTGTAGTATGGTGGTCAGCACGTTTATATATATATATATATATATATATATATACATATACAGTTGCTACAATTTTAACATATACCTGGCAAAGATAATAGTTTTCCCTAAAATTTCACCAATATCACTCTCGGTCATATTCCTTCAATCGAATAGATCGAAATCTATATATTACATATATATATACATGTATATATGTATATGTATACGCGTGTGTTTTAAAACCGCATGAATAAAGTGGTTCGACGCAACATTGATCGTACGAAACTCTGCGAAAGATAACTCGTAAAATAAATATGCAATTTATCGTTCAATTAATTTCACTATCACCGAATAAAAACGAACTATCAATTTTATTTAATAAAAAAAAAAAAAATAAAAATAAAACTAGAAAAAGAAATTTATTAAATTCAAGCTATAGTCCGAATTTCGATGAAATTCTTTCAATAGTAGAGTAGTTTTTTTTAAATATCCCGCCAAGGACGTTGTCGTTGCGTTAGAACGACGATAACTGTTTGTACGCTTGCGTATATATATATATATATATATATATATATATTCAAATATTATGTATTCGTGTGCGTGTACGTACG